TTAACATGCTTGATATTAGTATAATCCGGTTTATAGATTTAAAGATTCAGGCTATCCGCTATTGACATATGAAATAATAAACAATGCAAACAATATGCAAAGTCCCTAAACTTGTTCTATATAAGATTATAAGAGCACATATTAGATGAGATTCTAACCTTTAAGTTTCCAACCAATGAAATGCCAATTTCATCACTGTGCACAATTCTCTTTATAAACTGCATATAATCCACAATCCCGCAGGAAATTGACTTATATTGGTCTTTTGGGCCCATGATATTAACTCTTTCTTGATCCAGCAGCACTTCAATCCAAATTGACTCGCAGTAATAAATTAAGTTAGAGAATGGTACTACCTGAAATGAATTATTCAATAAAAATGCTTGGGATCTGAGCTACTTTTCCAGTTTTGAACTAATTAAATAAGTCACATGAGACGCCGAAACATATACTTACTAAACTCGGCTGAAAATAATTCACTTCACTGCTACAGGCACACGTATCATGCTTGCAGAAAGCCCAAAAAGGTCCATGCTATCAAATATATAGAGCCGTCAAGGATGGTACAGATGAGTGGAAAGAAGCAAAAAAAAAAGCTCAGTTATTTACCTGAGATAAGAAGACTGACTTAGGTAAACGTGAGGTTGCATACAGCTGAGCCAGTCCTTTCTTCTGATAACACCTTACATCAGTTCAGATTAGACAAGAGCAATTTTTAGAACAAGAAAGGGAACTCGGATTGAAACAGAAGATAATCCTTCTGGGTGTGGTTTCAAATGTCAAAAAATAAACATTTACATTTTTCGATCCAATAATCTCCTTTGTAGATAAGATCCCAGTGAATTTTCTCCTAAAAGTTGCTATGACAAGCAATGCCCTGAAGGAAATATAACATAAAAGTCAAGAATGAGCATGTAAAAAATGTCAAAAGTTTAAAAATGGTTCCTTTTGTTACCACAGCCTAGCAACGAAGGTCAGAGAGTCAATAAACTTCCTCAAAAGGCTCTGATGTCGTGGCCTAGTATAACCTCTGAGAGACATAAATAACAACATGTGAGAATAAAATGTTTTGCAGGTAGTGATATAGAAATATTGCATTTGAACAGGATAGTTGGGCTAACCCGGTTTCTAACAAAGAGAAAGATTTAACAGAGACACTTGTCTTAATGCAAGATCCTAGAATAAGAAACTTCGCCCAAGAAAATCTTGGATTCACAAAGTGAACATTTCTCAAAGAAACCTACACACAAGAATATCTGTTACAAACAACCATATATTTGGACAGCCATTTTCATTTATGAAACTCACCTAAAAATATTTGCTAGATATAGGTCAAGCCAGAGAGTGCTAATAGTTTGAAGGATTGAATGCTTCTTAGAGAAAGAAAAGTACTTTTAGTTCATAAAGAAGCATTGGCCATGAAAAAAAGGAGAAGCTCTTTTTTTAACTTTAAAGAAGCAATCTCAATGCTTTAAGAAGTATTTTTTAGCTTATTTAAGAAAACATTAACTAATTCTTTTTCCAAGAAGCACTATATGTACTTAAATCAGAACCATTATTATAAAATCCTTGCACCGTAAGTTATCATAAACATGCATGTAGTCTACAAAGATTTTCATCTACTTACTATGGCGCCAACTCTCAAACTATGAGGCACAATGATATCACGATTAGTTAACAGTAGCATTACTTCTTGGTCCAGCTCAACAATCATTCCCTGCATGTAAATGGCTGTGACCATCCCATTATAACTCCCACATTTACCGTTACCTCTTACATCAAACTTTGGGATACTTTTAAATTGGTCCGGCAAGGTAGAAATACGTATGGAAGATTTTTCAGCTGTCACATACATCAACTGTGATATCCCTTTCCCTATAGAAACTGATTTCTTCTTCAACCCTGATAAAGAAACTAATCTTCCAACTAATCTAGTCATTACTGGATGCCAATGTGAAGCAGGGCCGCAAAAGTACACAATAACAGGCTTGTTAAAGCAATGACAAATAGAATCTCCATTTGATTTACTTAATTGAATTGTTGAATATGTACACCAACACAAATTGCACTCACAAACTAATATTTTGGCAAGAAATCCACGAAGACTCTTCAAGCAGTTGCTCTCGCTGGTAGTAGAACCTGCACACGGTATAACTGAAACAGGGCTAATCGATTCTATTTCTCCCGTTAAGAAATGCTGAGCTTTTGCAGGACCAGCAGAATTAGTACTAGAAACTTGAAAAAGACTAAATGTGTCCAAGAAAGAAGGAGGTTCAAGAAACTCCCATCGAATAATCTCCAAGAAACCACTGTTACTACTGAGAGGAATGAAGTTCCAAGCCAAAACTTTGATCTTTTTGCCTATTATCTTCAGATCAAACGTGAGAATGTCACAGCAGACGGTAGCTGAACCATCAGAGAACTGAAAGCAAGCGCATTTAGAACTTGAGTCGTCGTTATGAGTAGGTAGAGTTAGGGTTCCGGTGAGAAGTGCCGGAAATGTTAAAGATTTGAGAACTTTCTGGGTAGGGGTTGCGGTATCCGGGCGGGAGCCTTTGTCAGGTTCGTCTCGAACTCCAGAATTTCGAGTAGGTCCTGAAAGAGAGATAGAAGGGCTGCTAATGAGAGAAAATGCTCCGGTGAGTGGTCTTGAACGTCCGATAAGCTCAGAGAGTTTAAGAATTTGGACGGTTTCTTCGCCCATGACAAAGTTACGCGGTGGACAATTAGGCAGGCGCCGTTCTGGGTAAGGACTGCTTACTTCAACTATTCTCGATCATCACAAATTTTCCCGCCTTATTCTTCAATGCAATTTTTATACGGAGTAAGTTTGAATAGCTGTTAGCGTCTCCGAGAAGACACTCAAGATTTCTTTAGAATGAGCAACAACTCAACAAGGCAGTGGCGTTGTGCGTAAGGATGTATTCTTTGTAGGAAATTTGTAGGTCTGGTCTGATCTGATTTGATCTGGTTTGTTTAAATCTGGTCTGGTAACTATCTGGTTCATGTGTATTTTATAAGTATCCAAGTGTGGCCCGCTGTGGTCTGATCTGGGCTGGTCTGTGTAATTTTGATCTGAACTGGTCTGGTATGGGACTGAAAAACAGTCCACAAGAAAACATCCTAATAGGAGTACAAGACTATTTTTAATTGGACTAAAAGAATTTGGTCCAATTAGTCTAATACGATATGCTTAAATCTGGTTTAGTCTGTTTAAGTTTAATCTGATCTAAAGTGGTTTGATCTACTACATGTTGATCTCTATGTATTTTATAACAGACGAAGTCTAATCTGATCTGGTCTGATTTTGAAATGAAAATAGTTTAAGTAAAAACATCCTCATATGGCTTTAACATGAATAATATTCATTGAAAACATGAGGAAAAAAGTGTTCCTTTTGAGTTTTTTTCCCACAAGAATATAGTGAAAAACATTGCAAGAAATGTAATTAATATTGGCTTAATTACAAGAGTGCATGAGAGTTGGGTTTGAAAACAGTATTTTAATTTTATTGTTTGCTTTCTATTTATTTTCCATGATCAGATTGTTTATTTTTCTGTTGGTTATTTTTATTGTTGTAAGACTATTGTATCATTATTTGGTGACGGGAGGTCTCCTTTAACTGCCGTTGGCTCATTTATGCCCATTATAAAATCAGTGAGTTATATTGTTTTTTGGAGTGAGTTATAAAATCGTTATTTGTAGCTAGCCTTGGTCTACATTCCCCCACCATATACCCGTACTCGGGTCTATCATCCATTCATCCTGATTGGAGTGAAAATCATGTACAATTTGATTGCAACCCATCCCAAAAATAACCCGCCCCGTTAAGATTAACCATCCAACGAATATTGTCTAAGTCCCCACATTTCCACTTGAGTTGGGTCATAAAAGCCTTGCACCATTCCATTCTAGTTACCAGAAAGACCAAATGATTACCTAAGCAGAATCAGAACCAGTTTTCAGAAATTGCTCCTCCCGACTTCTAAAAAAAACTGATTCTAGAAGTAAATTAGAGCATCAAAAACACTTCTTCACTTTCACCCAAACACTCCAACTTCTGCTTCTGCTCCTTCTCCTTGAAGGAGCAGAAGCACTTTTAAGAATCAGATCCAAACACCCCTCAGCAGCCATTACTTGTTGTATCATTATTATATCATTTAGACCCTTTAACTTGTTTTTGTGATTATTAAATTTTCATTCTAGAGAAAGCAACATTTTCACTACCAACACTAACATTTCACCCAAAAACATCTACTATCCTGACCCGTGGAGACTGACAGTAATAATCCACCTATAGTCAATGACATAATCTCTATAATCAAGTATCTCTACTTCTCCCAACCAGTGGCACTGCCACCCCATGCTAGTGATGATATACATAATTGATAATATATACATAAATAAATAAAAAGTGACACAAATATTAATTACTACTGAAGTTTGAGGTGACAGAAGTATAACAAGTTTTAATTTTTTAAAGTGACCAAATAAAAACTCTGAACCTACTCAAATTTCTTATCTCCTCCATCCTCTGCATAGATGCCTCGCTTCACTCAATCACTCCCCCACCACCATTACTATCGTTGCTTGGTAAGGGTTTTTTTTCTCGTCAAAAAATCTTTGAAAAAGTCGTGGTTAATGTCGCTAGAATTTATAGTTGTTGATAAGTTGATAGTGTTTTAGAAAAACATGATTTTCCAAAAGTAAAAGTTGATCGTGTTCATTAAAAAAATACCATTTGTATAGAAAAGTGAAAATAATTGTAAGCAATCCAAGTCCCTACGCCTATTTCCATCCTTTAACTTTAAAGTCTTTAATTTATAAATAAGTTATCGCTTGAAAATACCAATTTCAGCTTTTCTTTTAAGCAAAAGGCTAAAAAAGCTTTTCGAAATCTATTGCAAACACTCCTATAGCGGGCCATTGTAGCACTTGCGCGTGAGCATTAAAGAGATGCTTCAGGGGATCCATATTAGTAGTACTGTAGTAGAGTAGCTGTTAAATATTCAATTGCCATTTGCCAATTAGGGGTAAACATTTCAATCAGGATTCAGTTTCCATTTGTTTTCTAATGAATTCAGTTTGAAACAAATTGAGATAATGATTATCAAATATTTTTGTCCTACCAAGAATACTTGATGACAACAATAGATGGAGACTTTGTTAAATAGAAGTCGATGCATCACTTGAGGTACATAAGCTTCTGCTCAACTTATACTCCATACTTCGTAGAGGAATGATCCTGTCCAGCAGCCCCCGGTCCGAACGCCATCCGAACATGGCCATTTGGGGCACTTCGTATAACCTATGATTTTTCCAAAAAAAAAAAAACTTATATAACCTATAATATTATACACAAATACATGAGTTGCGGATTTCATTTCCCATAGTCATTGCTCAACCAAGACCTTGTATTTTCAGCTCCCTGTGAACATGGAGTGCTGCTGCAAAAACAGACACTAGAGAGGTTGATCAAACTGGCCCATCGATCGATCATCAACTATACGTTTTCTCAGGTGAAGCGGGGAATACCTCGAGCGTTGAGCGTGGTGAATGATGACGAGATCCCCCAACAGCACCATTAGCTTCAGAATTAGGTGGGTGTGTACCTGCTATTTCACTGTAACCAGAAAAAAGGACAACTTTATAGTGGACAACTTTATCCATGTGCTGGTTTTAATTTTTAAGTTTAAATTTAGTACGCTACGCCAAACTAGCCTAACAGCAAATAAGAGCTGAGATATGAACTTCAACATTAACAAAGGGCAATAAGAATAGGAAGTACATAGCTTGTGTCGTGTGTCAGTGTGATTTGCCTCGTGGATTTCGGAGGGAAAGAGAATGGATGATTGATTTTTGTTTTACTAATTTTCGGGAACATTGTGAGTTTTCATGTGGTCAATGTAATACTAGTACTACATACTCCGTATCTTTTATCTCTAATTTTGTGAATTAAATTTGGTAATATTCAAATTCAGCTTTTGCGGCCCATTGGAACTTTAAGTATAGCTTCTAAACATGTAAGTTTTAATTTAGTTTCAATACATTAAGAGAGTTAAGTTCATTATTATGAGTCAAACCTCAAACATACAAATGGATATGGGCCGGGAGTAATAATGAACACAGTCGAGGTAAGTAGGTGTGTCTACCCGTGGCTGCTACGCAACAGTTTCAGATGCATAATGGACGGAGTTGCATTTAGCTGATCAAGTTGTTGATGTTTCATCAGGTCTTGTTGTGTATCCTGGAAAATCAAGATCCAAGTAGATAAGCCAAAAATGATGAGAAGGCCAATACATACATGCTCCCAAAAATGAGGCGAACCCCAAGTTTGGTAAACACAAGTTTTTCATGTGTAAATTTTTTGTGCACAAATACATATAAATGAATTGTTTTTCCGATTTACCCCAAATTCAAAATTTTCGGGGTCCTGGCTATGCCAAACCCAACCTTATCCTTTTAAACATTTTTTGTTGGAATATGAAAATAACACAGGCATAGTGGCATACATGTTGGAATGGAGAGGCAGGGGAGAGATGTAAGAAAGGATGATCAAGTAGCATAGCTGCAGATGGCCTATCTGCTGGATTCCTTTGCAAGCAGCATCCAATGAAATGCTTTCCTTCTGAAGATAGTGTTTCTGGTATAGGTGGCGATTTGTTCAATACACTGAACATCGCTTGTACCTGATGATCATCATTAATTATATCATTTATTTGATCGCAAAACAAAAGGAGGGTCAAGATTAATTTCCTACCCAACTAAGATCACTCCAGGGAGGTTGCCCCGTGAACATCTCAATGACCGTACAGCCCAAGCTCCATATATCGACAGCAAGTGCAAGATATGGATTATCATCCTTCCTTAACACCGCCTGCATCACCTGCCACATGTGTATACATATACGTGTTCTGCTAAAGTAGTTCAAGAAAACAAGAACCGTCAAGATTACTCGTTTTATTGAAATACCTCAGGGGCCATCCAATGCGGACTTCCTTTCAATGAAAGATCAATATTCTTTCCCGAAAGCTGAAATAGAGTCCAGAGAATGAGTAAGAAAAATATTATGAAACAGCTTAAGGTAAATTTTAACTTATCTCACATCAGAAAAACATGGAAACACAAGCATACAATTAAGAACTTGGATTACTCCTATTGAATTGACAATTTAAGATGGAGCTACAGCTCTTAATAATAATAATAAAGTATAAACAAGTCAAAATAAATAAATGGAAAAAGAAATAAGGAAGAAGCAAATACTGCGGATGGACTTTGATAGCATAAAAAAGCATCTGTACAGAACAAATGAGCAATGCCAGTGTGTGTGTGTTTAAATCATAAAATACATAGCATGCTGGGAAAGTAAGTAATCCGTCTTAGTTAATATAAACAATTCAAGGATTCAAGAACTGACATGTTTTGCCAATCCAAAGTCAGCAAGCTTGACAACACCAGATGCATCTACAAGCAAATTAGCCCCTTTTATGTCCCTGTTTCTCAAACATCCCTAATAAGCTATTATCATTCATTATATAATAAGTGTTTTCCACTTTAAATTATCCAAACTATTGTTGCAATGAGACTTTCAGTACCTATCATTGAACTTTTCCCATTTTGGTCCTCCAATTATTATGGGACATTATTGGTATGGTCTTTAAATTTTTCTACTTTTAGTCCTCAGACTAATGTAGAGTGATAAATTTATCCTCCAACTATTGTAATTGTAAGTCATTCAACTATTGAGGAAAAAGAATGAGAATAAAAAGTGTATTTGTCATGTCTAAAAGTGCAAAGATTTAAAGATGGGTACAAGAAGTGTCTGTGTCACAATATTTATAGGGCAAAAAGTGAAATATTCAAAGACAGGTACCAAAGTGTAGTTGACAAAACAGGCAGTGGCTAAAAGTGGGAAAACCTCATTATATAATTAATGTACTTTAACTATAACCCAGTCTCCCTTACCCCACTGTAGGTGGGAGCCTTTACGGCACTGGGGTAAATGAAAATGAACTATAACCCAGTCTACCACTACTGTGATACAGTACCTGTGAATTGTCTTGGTGCTGTGCAAGTAAGCCATTCCAGAAACAATATGACGAGTAAAATTCCTAACAACAGACTCTGGCAAAGCTCCTCCATAATCTCTAAGATATTTATTAAGTGATCCAGGATTAATGTACTCCAAATATATGCAAAACCGATCATCAACCTAAACCATATTAAAAAACATTGGTTAACTAACACACACACATAATGTGGAGATTCCTCTGCAAAAAGACGTGTATCATTATTTGCAAATCCAAGAGAGTAGAGAATGTTCTTACAATTTCACTGCCATAATACTGCACAATATTGGGATGTTTCAGCTGTCTAAGCACTTGTATTTCCTAAATTCAAAGCAAATGACAATCTATATTAGGGAGTCATTTCCATTTCAGTCTTCAATAATTGCAACTTATTCTTCAAATAAACTTGGTTTACCGCGCCATTCGTAGACTATGTCACAATATAAAACTCTCTCTGTCCCAAATTGAACATTTTAGTTCATTTTGGCAACTTTTTAAGAAAATGAAATTGTGTATCTAATTAAAAAAGAATCAAATAACATCAGCAATCATATATTCCGGAACGTATGACTTGCCAAGTGCCAACTAATTATATCAATGGATCTCATGTCATGCCAATATGTAAGTTACATGGTTGTTTCTATTCGCTTAAGACATGTTTCCTTCGGATGGTTTTCTGGTCTAGTCTTTGCTGCCCTAGGCACTAGGCGATCACTAGCTACCCCAACTTTAGTCTAGTACTCTAGTCAGTCTTAAAATTGTTCAGCAAGTTAGCCAGAGGCCAAGACCGAATTAATCAGGCAGCTTGTGCGCCTAAACCCGACTAATTGGACACCTAGGACATACACAGCATTTTCCATTCGGGCTCACAACCTCAAGTGTGCATGTCGCATATGCTTTTCAAAAACTAAAGCACTTTATGGTGATACTTATCTAATAAGTATTGCATCATTGAACTAGATGATAAATTATTATTACAATTAACTATTCTACAACGCATACACTATTGATATATCTATATAAATACACACGTGTGTATATGTATATACAATATTAGTGGTTGTATTCGTACAACATTATTTATAATATACGAAGTATATTTTACATTCCGTCTAATATCAACCAAGGTGCTAGTCACTAAGCTGGTGCCCGACTTACACCTAGAGAGATTTAGAACGTCGGAAATTATGCTTTGCAAGTCTAATTTGGTCTCAACCGGTCTCATACCAAAACAGGTGAAGAGAACATGAATAATGTGAAACTACTTTATAGCCTCACAAGGAGAAGAGAGAACCTGTTCCAGCTGCTGTATGCATTCTAAGGCTTTTGGGTCATCAAGGGCGTATTCGACTTCTTTCATTGCACATAATGCACCAGTTTCACTGTCAGTGCAAGGCATATCACATTCATCAACAAAATGCACTACCCTGTTAGCAAATATGACACTTTCCAACAAAACAAACATCTTTAACCTTCCTGAGTTATTTAACAGGTTTAAACCCAAGAACAAAAATTTCTCTGAGGTCCCTAATTTGAAGCCCTCCAGTCATTATCTTCACAATCCGCAGGACTATACGGGGTAAAGATCCTGGGCACACTTGTCTTAAAAAACATTAATAAGAAAAAAAAACATACCAATTAGATGCAACATAAACAGTTCCATAAGTGCCACGTCCTAATAATTTCCTTTTTTGCCATAGACCTTTTGTTGGCAGCGGTGTATCTGATTTTTCTGCATTGTTATGAGTGGGACATGACTGTGCTGATTTTTCTGTATTGTTATGAGTGGGACATGACGGTGATAGCCTCAACACTCCGGGTGGAAGGGGCAATGGATGGACATTGAGGTTATTCTCCAGGTGAGATTTACTATGCAGAAATGCAGGGTTAAAGATGTCAACTGTGCTAAACTTTTTCGGGCTGAGGACAGGACTGGTAAACCCACTGCCCGGAGCACTCCTTGCTGGGACCTCAAGTCTGAAGGAGTCTAGTCTGTCCTTGTTCGTGTTTGTATGATCATCATAGAAACCTCTCCGTCTGTAAGTTTGAGTTGTTGCTCCCCTTCTTGAATTTACTGCCTTTCCATTACCATCCCTTGAGGGATTACTGCAATAAAGCAACCCATATATTATTCTTAAGTAAGAATTTCATGAACATATCTCAAGTTACAAACTACCAAATGTTAGCCCATTTGCTAATAGAGATGTTACAGTATAATCATGCCTAAAGGTGGAAAATAAAACCTTTTGTTTATATAAAAAGGCAGTGTCTTTTAAAGGTAATGCACTCAACTTTAGAAGTATTACATTAATGATTCACACCAGTTCCAGTCTTTGACAAAAATATATGGTAGATATAAAACAACACCAAAAAGTAAATTCAAACAAAGCTTTGCAGAAAATTCGGATTCATTTAAATTCCTGGATTGAGTTTCAGAACAAGCATATATAAATGACAAATTACATTACTTGAATAGTTGAATATATATGCATTAGAATAAATATAGAATATCATGCTGATATCAAAGATTAGAACTATGAATCCAAGCCACAAAAAATTGTTATTCTTGTCTTAAAACTTTGTCACACTTTCCTTTTTTGGTTGTGTCACTAACTTTGTCAATTTCCCTTTTTAAGTAAAAAATTCAGTTAATTCCTTTTCTTGTGCACAAACTTGACCCCCATAGTTTTTACTTAATCATCCTGTGGGACAATCTTGACCAAGTTTTAAGGGACAGAGGGAATAATATTTATGAAATTTTTTATTCATTGAGATTTACCTATAAAGAATTAGAAATAATGATGACTTGCAGAAAATTCTGATTGGGATAAGCTAATACCTAAAAATGTATACCTAATTAGATTAGATTACTGAAACTAGTTGAACACTTGAACATGAGAACAAAAAAACAAAACTTAGAATCCAAACAACAAAGACAAAACTTTCCATCTTAAAATGATTTGGAGAAAAGAAAGAAAATAAATTTTATACCTTGTGGCTGCAGAGCTTGAAATATGTCCTTGGCCTTTGGTCAGTAAACTCTCACCCTCAGAATTCTGTTTGGGCAGGGGAAGTGGCTGCGGCAAGGCGGATTCAGACCAGTGGCCGGCGTGACGCCGCAACCGTGAATTGGACTCCGGGGAGACCGGCAAAGACTTTGACTTTGACTGCCCATCAATGAGCCCGAGGCGTAACCCGAGCTCGTCCTCCGTCGCATGCCTCAACCTCGGCTGCCGGGTCAGCCGCTGACCTCCGCCGCCGCCGAAAAGATGCCTATCGCTGCCGCCGCGGGGAGATTCATACGCCGGGCTTGAACTAGAAGCCGGTGATGAGTTGGTCCGGGCGGAGTGAGAATGGGAAGAGGTATGCGAGAATGCTTTCCAGAAAGAAGGCATTTCAGAAAGAAGGGAAGGGGTGGGAGGTGCAGGTCATGGAGCAGTCAACGCTTATAGTTGTATGGAAGTTCCATAGACGGACGACATCTTTCAGGCTAGTTGAACATAGAATGACAGAGTCAATGCACGTGCCCGCTCTTTCACACTGTATCTACATACGATTTGAAAGACAATGAAGAATGACTAGTGTTTGGCACAAGTGTCGTTAGTTGTATTTGTGAATGACTAGAGGGGTGTACATGTTTGAAAGAAAAGTACTACCTCCGTTCCCGGATTGACTTTCACACATTTCAAGTAAATAAAGTTATTGAGGGGTAAATTTTACCGTTTTAACACGGTTTCGACACTGTTTGGCACTGTTTGGCACTGTTTCGACACTGTTTGGCCCTGTTTGATACTGTTTTGCACTTTTTTATATAGATAGTTTGCCAAATAAGGAAATGAAAAATTTATTTTGGAACATGCAAATAAGGAAAGTGAGAACTTGTTTCCGGAACAGAGGGAGTATAAAATCCACACATTTTATCCCCAAAATTGTACGTGTAAATAAAATTTATGTGTGTGATTGTGTGAATCAAATGTCTCTAAACATGTTTGATCATAGTGGCACATACAATATGTGTAGGTATACATACAACTAGTGTCTGTGCACTTTTCGCGCAAATCACACTAATTGGTGAGTTTTTTTTGCATAAAGAGTTAGGTTTAGTTGCATGAAAATCAATGTATACAAACATTAAGTGTTTGTATGCACACACAAAATGTTTGTGCACATATATATATTGTCTATGCAGACATGTTACAGACAAATTTTATTCACATAGACAAATTTTGTCAAAAAGTGTCTATATTTATATTTTTTTCCTATGTAAACGGTAATTAAATAGGGTGTACCCCGAGATGTAACTCAGGGTGTACAAATAGAATTTTTCAATATAAATTATGTCATATAGAACCAGAAAGATTGAAAAGTATCCATCTAAGACTTTGAAATAACATAGATTTTTATCTATTTAATTTCATTATTAAATTTTTCTTCAAAAAAAGCTTATTGATTTAATAAAATTAAATAATATTTAATAATTTTAACATGCAAAAATATTATGGAGTATAAGTTTATTAATTTCCTTTTTGGTCTATTGCACTAAAATTGTCTCATACCAAATTTGTTAATTGTGTGGTTCTAAATTATTCTTACTTTATAGATTTAATATCAATAACATAAATTCACTTTTTTAAATTTTCTAACCACATTCTTTTGTACCAATATTAGGGGTTGATAGTACTAAAGTAAAAGTAGAGATCGTGTCATACCTTTGCTTATTTAGCTACCCCAAAATATTATTTGAAGAATTAAATTCATAGTTTATATTATGCTTATTACACAAAAGAATTCTAACATATCAAAGAAGCGATAAAACTAGCTAGTTCATTGTATTTATAATTCTAAAATAACATTGATTGTTTTTTAATCTAATATGGAGTATGGTATTATGATCTGTCTAGTTTCATTCGCTGATATCTAGTTAATGAGTTTATTAAGCTAAACGTTAATTCTCTATGTTCTCCATATTATTTGATTTTTTTCTATTTTTTCCCTCAAAATTATTGGTAGTAGAGGATTGATTTTTGTCTTCTTTATCTTTATCTGTGTTCCTAATTTAAATAAGTTTGAGCATATAATTAGAAACCACACAACTCAACATAACTAATGTGAAATTTCATACTTCGGTGAACATAAATATGTGTAGGGAGAGCTGCAAATTATATAGACATCATGGATATGTATGGCCATTGGGATTGTTCTAAAGTGTTTGTACTAGTACGTGTAGAAGGAACCGCAGAATCACCAATTACTATCAGAGTGCACCAAGAATCGGCTCTTAATCCTTTCTTATTTGTTATAGTCATAGATAAATTCATGAAGTCCATTCAAAATGATAATATTGTGTTGATCGAAGAGACCAAATCAAATGTTAAAGTAAAGTTGGGAATATAACGACAAACTTTGGGGGGAAAAGGGTTCCATGTTGAGTTGAAGTAAGTTTGAGCGTATAGATATGGACGTTAAATTTGATGACGATGTATCTATGATAGAATCATAACAGGGTGGATGAAATGAAAGAGTGCATCAAGATTTCAATGTGGTCGAGGTATGCCAACTAGAGTGAAGGTGAGTTTTATTGGACAACTGGGTTGTCTGGGCCTACATTGTTGTGTAGCATAGAGTGTTGGGAGGGAAAACAATGTAACATTCCAAAGATGAGTGCGACTAAGATGTGCATGTTGTGTTGAATGAGTGGACATATTAGAAAAGACCGCTTAAAGAATGAGACAATCAGACAAAAGGTGGAGGTAGTTGTGATACGCCAAGATTTAAAATTTCTAATAAATAATATATTTGACGTTGGGAATGTCCCTAGGTAGCTTAATTAAAATCCAGCTTAGTGTTTGGGGTCTAGAACGAGTTCAGCACATGCAAAATCCGAGCAAAATCGGGGAAAAAGCGATTTTGGGAAAATCAACTAATCACGCACGGACATATGCATGGCATGCGCACAGCCGTGTGTTGGTATAAATGGACAGCATCCGTTCTGCACCTAGAGACAGTCACACATATGACCGTGTCTAGCATAGACACGACTACACACACGGTGTGTGTAAGGCCATGTGCACACCTATTTAAGTTCAGTCCAAAGCCTGTTTTTTAACGAGTCAATATAAATATAGATCCTATCTCCGAAAATTTTCATTCTTGAAACCCTGGAGCCAACTCCCTAGATAAAAAATCTTCAGTATAGACATTCTTAAGCCATCCAAGGTGAATTATAGACATTCTTAAGCCATCCAAGGTGAATTTTAGTTCCATGAAATTGCCTCTACATAGAGATTAAACTCGATTTACATAGATTATGTAATCATAGCAATGATAAAGATTGTACTATTTTGGACAGATTTACTTGAAATTTGATTAATGGCTTGTTCTCATTGAATTTATAGATTAATATTACTAGTACTAATATTGGTATACATTTGTGTCATCATCAATTACTATTATAGTTTTCACCGTTCCATAAAAACATTTTTGTAATCAAGGTACGTATCAATACTACATCATCGCACACTAAAGTGCCATTCATTTAAGCGACAAAGTTGATAAGAGTCGCACTAACTATAATTTTAATTCGGTCGGCGACTAACTTGCTAAAAATATAAAACTTTTAATTACTAAGTGATAGAAGTGCATATACTTTAATATTATATGTACCGACACATTTAGTTTACAATCAAATAAAAGTTTATCAACTTTAAACAATGACACGTTTTGAGAATATATGTCATCATCATATTCTAAACACAATGTTAATTGTTACTATTTGTGGAAAAAGACCATATATATATATATATATATATATGGAAGGAATTAATAATATTTCCTTTAAAGGAGTGGAGTATGTAATTGAATAATTCAACAATATACACCATGTTCAGTACACATATGATACATGAAAAATCTGATATAGCTGCTTTACTGTAGGAAGAAACATATATAGTTCATTTGATATACGTAGTAAGGCTTACAAAGTTTAAATTAGTGAAAAAAATGACTTAGTTTTCGCATTTTCAATCTATGTCATGCCGTGTTGTATGTATGTGGTCAATGACACTAATTAAAACTTTGTAATTCTTATCAAGTTTTGGATGAACTATGTTTCTCCCTTCAATAAAACTATATACATTTTTTCATGTATCACATGTATAATGAACTTGGTTATATAATAATACAACTACATACTCCATTCCTCAAAGGTAATATTAATATTACCTGAATTTTGACATTTCATGTATCACATGTATAATGAACTTGGTTATATAATAATACAACTACATACTCCATTCCATATGTGTGTTTTCCATTATTAATATTAATAATTGCTTCCATAATTGTTTTTTTCTGAAATAGGAGTAATAGTTAACATGTTGTTTAAAAAGTTGTAAGGTTTTTATTGGTTTGTAAACTTAATGTGTCGGTATATACGATACGGAGTATTAAAGTATATATACTTCTATCTCTTTGTAATTAAAAGCTTTATATTTTTAGTTTTTTAGTCTCCGATTGAATTAAGATTATAGTTAGTGTGACTCTTATCAGCTTTGTTGCATAAATGAATGACACCTTAGTGAGCGGGTAATGTAGTATCCGTGCGTACCTTGATTATGAAAACGTTTTTTTAGAACGGAAAATACGATAATAGTAACCAATTAATGACAACATGAATGTATACCAATATTAATACTACTAATATAATAATATATAAATTCAACGACAACAACCTATTAACCAAATTTGAAGTGCTGCGTACTCGTCAAATCAAAATATTACCAATTTTTATCATCGTTATTATTCCATAATCTATATAAGTAGAGTCTCATCTCCATGTACAATATAAACTCATCAAAACCTAATTCAATCTTCTCTTCAAGAGCCAACCATGGCAAGAAGAAAAGTAAGGTTGACATATATTGTAACACCGTCCCCAAATGTATTTACTTTCAAGTAAATGATGTAATAAACCTTATGGAATGATTTACGAATTTACGAAGTTGTAAATTTTTATTATTCTTTCGCGTGAATAGTAAATTGCACGTGGGGCCCACACCGGGAGCGGGGGCCGCCCGACACTCCCGAGACCACATATTTTATTCATCTTGGTCAAGATAATATTTATATAGTGGTGGACATTTCGTTTGAGTCGTGGAAAGGCGCAGAGTTGACCGATTGGGGAAAAAGAGACCCAATTACCGGTACCGACAATTTAACAGATAACAGCCCGAAAATGAATTTCGGAGGCTTATAAATTAAAGTTGGGGAATGTACATTCATTATACATGTCATAATGAGTAAGAGCACATAATATATTTTATTTGAACCGATAAAATAAAATATATTTAAAGCGGTCCGAAAAATACAACTTTCGGGACAAATTGTACACTTCGGGACAAAAAGGGTTGACCTCCCACATGAGTGGGGGCCAACCCACGATTTTTGCCACTCAAATTGAGGGCTGGGTCGGTTGGCATAGAGAGGAGAAACATGGGGGGATGGTGATGTGATCCTTTTAGCATCAAACAAAGAGGAGGTGGCCCCATCCACACTCATTTGCTCTATGAGACAAATGAGTATACCTCACCCCTTCCCCTCCCTCATTTTCGGCCAAGGAGAACCAGGGAGAGCAAGAAAATCCACCCAACCTCCTTCCTCCATTGTTGAAGAAAGCTCATCAAAGAGGAATCACCCAAAAAGGAGCTAAAGTGCTAAAAGTGTGAAATAATTAAGGTAATGACCTTATTATAACTTTTTCTTTATTTTTCTTCTACCATATGAGATATATATCATGTGAAGAATCCTTAAGAGGGTTCTACATGTTATAAGTATGGATTAATGGGTTGGAAAGTGATTCTATGTCCAAGAACGGACTTAGAAGCCAAAACGACCGGTTCACCGGAAAATAACCTTTTTGAGGTTATTTGTATTAATATGGGTTTTATGATTATAAAACCTTGTTAGGGACTTGTAAAGGGTATTTCAAGTGATTTCACAAAGTTGGAAAAGTCGCCGGAGTAGTCGCCGGAGTTGACCAAAAGTCGCCGGAGTTTCACCGGAGTTCAACCAAGAAGGGTAAAACTTCAAAACGCTAGCTCAAGGTGAGTGGACGGCTTAATATCTTATAACTTTTGGGTTAATTATGAGATTACCTAAATAAATGTTATATGTTTTCATAATGATGTTTAAAAGATAATTAAACATGTGATTAGCCAACATTATCAAGTTGTATGAAAAGAATTAATTGATTATGCATGAAATATGATATGAGAGATTATATAAAATGCACATTAGCTTGAAGTGTAAAAGAAGCTCAAATGAGTATTATTGACTTAATTATATGATGATTAAGTTGATGTGAACAAGGCTTGAATTGGCGGTCAACGACAACGTTGACCGATGGATGATGGATTAATTAATATCGGTTGATGTTAGTTAATTATACATTTATTTAAATGCATGGCTTTGCATGGATTGTGATACATAAGATTTAAGTATTGGATTAGTTATGAGTAACTAAGGATGATATAGACTCTATCTAGGTTGATAGGAGGTTGATCATAGGAAAACTTGGTGGAGGACCCTAGTACTTAAAAAGTACTTAACACTCAAACTTGGTGGAGGACCCTAGTACTTAAAAAGTACTTAACACTCAAAACTTGGTGGAGGACCCTAGGACTTAAAGTCCTTAACACTCAAACTTGGTGGAGGACCCTAGTACTTAAAAAGTACTTAACACTCAAACTTGGTGGAGGACCCTAGTACTTAAAAAGTACTTAACACTCAAAACTTGGTGGAGGACCCTAGGACTTAAAGTCCTTAACACTCAAACTTGGTGGAGGACCCTAGTACTTAAAAGTACTTAACACTCAAAACTTGGTGGAGGACCCTAGGACTTAAAAGTCCTTAACACTCAAACTTGGTGGAGGACCCTAGTACTTAAAAGTACTTAACACTCAAACTTGGTGGAGGACCCTAGGACTTATGAGTCCTTAACACTCACAAACCGGTGGAGTATCCAAGGATTATGATCCTAAAACTCATAGATTGTGATATACAAGTAGGGACAAGGAGGAGTCCTATACACTCATAGGTATATGGGTGGGTTGGGGTTTTTAGTCAAGAATATTGACTATTACTATTTTCCCGAATAAAATGGTGATCTACGGATCGGATATTTTCCAAGTATATATATACTAATAAGTATTTCATAACTTGGGGGAAAGATTATTTATTTAAGTATCACCCTATGTTTGGGTCTTATACTTGAAACGCTAGTTATTCTATATTTAGCCTGCTACTCGCTCGGTACTTGTACTGACCCCTTCGGGGGGCCCCACCATTTTCAGGTTGAAGCTAGAGCTTGCTACTTGCACCTTCTCACGGGTGATATCAAATCAGGGAGACGTGGTTCGTGCTTCCTTATTTTCTTTCAAACTACCGAACACTTGCTCATGGATATTTGTTTTACTACAAACTATTTTTGGGGCTTGCATGCCCATGTTGTCGGCCGGTTGTGGCCCATGACTTACCGTTGAATATTTCCGCTATTCATTGGTTTAATGTGATGTTGTTATGTATGTTTACTACTGAGTATGGATGGATTGTTTTCTCGAACGCCTCGTGTAATTAAGTGAGGTTGACCCGTGGGTGACGTCACTTAGTTATACGGCGGTTGTACACGCGCTTGGATTGCGGTCTGGGGCGTGACATATATCACCGATGAATCCAAAAGGAAAGCATCGTACAAGAAAAGAAGGAAGGGATTGTTAAAGAAGCTTGAAGAGCTAACAATCCTGTGCAGTGTAGAGGCATGCACAATCATGTACAACTCATTGGAACCAGAGCCAGTGGTGTGGCCATCGGCGGAAGGCGTGCAACAAACGGTTGCTAGGTTCAGAAGTCTTCCTGACGTGGAGCAAACTAGAAGGAGCACGAGCCAGGAGAACTTTGTTCATGAGAGGATTCAAAAGCTCAACACTACCATAATCAAGTTGAAGAAGGAGAACCGTGAGAAGGAAATGACAATGATCATGTACAAAATCCTCGCCGGAGAGCAAATTGATAGGCCATTGGATGTCGCCGATTTGAATGACTTGGGTTGGGTCATTAACTTGCACTTGGCAGAAATTAATAATAGGATTGCGACCTTAAAGATGAATAACACAAGTGATGTCAATGCCTCAACCTCGGTTGGAGCTGATGTTCCAGATGCAATGGCAGCTTCAAGAATGGTCAACTACAACCAAATTCCTGAAAACGTGATGGACAATGTTGTCATCTCGAATCCCATGCTTCCGGTGAACAGTAGTATTGTTGAGCCGCTGCCTAGTGTGGTGGGGCGGGATTGTGAGGGTTGGACTCACTATATGAACATGATGAATAGGAAAACCAATAACCAAAATGATCCAAATCAAGCCGGTCCAAGTGGCTCAAAGAATTGAAACTATTTCATTCCCTGGCTATTTCGCATGTTGCTGCCGCCTGATCCATATTTTTTTTATAATGGTCTTTCTTAGTTGTTTCAATGAATTTTGATGAATTGTGTAGTTAGACACTACATTCAATGTCATCTAAATAATGTCGTCTTAGGTGGTTATGTTTTTTCATTTTTCTATATTTTGTTGTGTCATTGCGTGCTATTATGCATTCCATTTTATCTCAATTTTTATTGGAAATATCATATACGACATATTATATATTATCAAAACAAGTAGTGTTATTCTCCAAAAGGGATTGAAAAGATTTGGAAGTTAAATTTGGGTTTTTGAAAAGTAGCCTCTAATTAATCCTTAAAATTCACTATGCATGATCGATAGACGAAATTTAATTCATTTTTTGAGATGAAGATCCTATAGTAAATGAGTGTGTGTAATATGTGTGTGGACACATGTGTGTACAAATTCTTATTCAAATGGAATGTACCTTCAAGTGGGAAAATATATTTGATTGTTAGTTTCAAGAGTACGTAGCTCATGAAATATGAAAAATGGCAACTATGAACTTGTATATGAATGTTATTGCTAATTCAACAACATTAATAATGAAAACGCATTATGTAAGGGCATCATTCTTGATTATGTAAGGTAAAACGATTGATCTAAAAGATTAGGTGGATAAATAAATCATCACATTTTTATGCCAACACAACAAGTGCAACGATTGAAATACATAAATCACTCAATTGAGCGGTTTTTAAAAGATTGAGGATCTAATTGGGCCATTACATAGTCATCACGCATGCATTGGTTACCGACTAAATCGGTCAATTGAGTGTTTGTTAAAAACTTGAGTGTTTAAGTGAGTGTTTTCAAAGTATGGGTCCTAATAGACTTTTTTACATAGAAGATAGAACGAGGTCCATTTGATAATTTTCCCATTTAACTATTAGAGGTTGAATTTTGGCCTTATTCGTCTGAACTAAACTTCCCAAATTAAAATTAATTGCCATATAGTTTGTTGAAGTAACAGGAAATTAAACTTTTGAAATAGGAAACTTTTATCCTGAGTGTTGTTTTTCTCGAGCAATTAAGAATTTACTAATTTAATATTAGTCACAAAAGGTCACCAACTATTTGAACCTTTCTCAACTAAAGGATTTTAGTGATTGACTAAGCTAAAGTGGATCTCTAAAGAGACAACAAGTTAAATTGCACCATATAACTTAACAATGACAATAAATACTTATAACTCTGTATAACATTGAAATTAAATAATCCATAATCTATAATATTAATAAATACACAATAACAACTTTTTTACTTTTCATTCACCATTACATTTTCCAACCAGTGGCCCACACCTATAGACCCGCATGACTAATTGCAAATACACTCATGCATTGCATAATATCTTTCTTACTCAAACCTTTATGCAAAAATTAATAAAATGTAGTTGAAAAGTATCTCACTTTAAGCAATTTTATATAGTAGCTACGACATTTTGTGAAAACGCATAAGCAAAGTGTTCACGTTATATTTTCTACAAGTTGATAAAAATTATTGTTCTGCGTATTTCCAATTTATCAAAACCAATGTCTTATACTCCTAACTTCTTCTCAAGAAATTTTAAATGCACGTATAAAGAAACTTGTCCATTGGGGTTTCTCCGAATTGCTTGATTAGTTCATCTTTCTGTAATGATTTACCTTCAATTTTGTATTATAAATGAACAAATAACAACTCCTTAAAAAAATATACTACATATAACGTACAACTTGTGTTAAGAGTGTTTGCACCTATTGAATTTGTCTTTTGTTTTGTAATTTTTGTTCACCCAAACAAGTTCTACCAGAATACTATTTAAATATTTTTAATTAGATCAGACTAAAGTGTGACCATTATACCGCCGACACTCACATATCAGAATAGTCCATTTGCTAATTGTATTTCTATAGGGGTATCCCCAATATGGATTCTAGAGAATTTTAATGTAGTTTGGAGTTTTGCTAGAATATATGTGTCCACAAAATGTTTGATAACACCATTATTAATAGAAATCCACAAAATGTTTGAAAACACCATTATTTTCATGTATTGCACAGAAATCCAAATCGAAGACACATATATTCTAGCGAAACTCCAAACTACATTAAAATCCTCTAGAATCCATATTGGGGGTACCCCTGTAGAAATACAATCAGCAAATGGACTCTTCTGATATGCGAGTGTCGGCGGTATAATGGTCGAACTTTAGTCTGATCTAATTAAAAATATTTTAAATAGTATTCTGGTAGAACTTGTTTGGGTGAACAAAAATTACAAAACAAAAGACAAATCCAATAGGTGCAAACACTCTTAACACAAGTTGTACGTTATATGTAGTACTTCCTCCGTCCCGGAAAGGTTCGCCAACTTTGACTTTCACGTAGATTAATAAAGTAAAAACTGTGTGGTTGAAATTTGTGTAGAGGAGAGAGAATTAATTTTAACCACATATTCCTTACTTTAAATGGAAATTGCAAATCTTTTTGGGACATCCAAAAAAGGAAATTTGGCAAACCTTTTCGGGACGGAGGGAGTATATTTTTTAAAGTGTTGTTATTTGTTCATTTATAATACAAAATTGAAGGTAAATCATTACAAAAAGACAAATTAATCAAGCAATTCAGAGGAACCCCAATGGACAAGTTTCTTTATACGTGCATTTAAAATTTCTTGAGAATAAGTTAAGAGTATAAGACATTGGTTTTAATATATTGGAAATACGCAGAACAATGATTCTTATCTCCTTGTAGAAGATATAACGTGAACACTTTGCTTATGCGTTTTCACAGAATCTTGTAGCTACTATATAAAATTGCTTAAAGTGAGATACTTTTCAACTACAATTTATTAATTTTTGCATAAAGGTTTGAGTAAGAAAGATATTGTGCAATGCATGAGTGTATTTGCAATTAGTCATGCGGGTCTATAGGCGCGGGCCACTGGTTGGAAAATATAATGGTGAATGAAAAGTAAAAAAGTTGTTATTATGTATTTATTAATATTATAGATTATTGATTATTTAATTTCAATGTTATACAGACTTATAAGTATTTATCATTGTTCTAAAAATCGGCCTAGGCGGACCGATTAATCGGCCTAGGCGGCCCTAACCGTAGAGTCCTAGTCGGTCTAGTCGGCCAAAAAATCAGCCTAGTCGGCAGATAAATCGGCCTAGTCGGCCGCCTAGACGCTAGGCGTCCCTCTACCGCCCAACTAGCGCCTAGCGAGTTTTAAAACTCTGGTATTTATTGTCATTGTCAAGTTATATGGTGCAATTTAACTTGTTGTCTCTTTAGAGATCCGCTTTAGCTTAGTCAATCACTAAAATCCTTTAGTTGAGAAAGTTCTAATTGTTGGTGACCTTTTATGACTAATATTAAATTAGTAAATTCTTAATTGCTCCAGAAAAACAGCACTCAGGATAAAAGTTTCCTATTTGAAAAGTTTAATTTCATGTTACTTCAACACACTATATGGCAATTAATTTTAATTTGGGAAGTTTTGTTCAGTCGAATAAGGCCAATGTTCAACCTCTAATAGTTAAACGGGAAAATTATCAAATGGATCTCATTCTATCTTATATGTAAAAAAATCTATTAGGACCCATACTTTGAAAACACTCAATTAAACACTCAAGTTTTTAACAAACACTCAATTGACCGATTTAATAGGTAACCAATGCATGTGTCACGGCTATTTAATGGCCCAATTAAACCCTCAATCTTTTAAAAACCGCTCAATTGAGTGATTTATGTATTTCAATCGTTGCACTTGTTGTGGTGGCATAAAAAATGTGATGAATTATTTAGCCACCTAATCTTTTAGATCAATCTTTTTACCTTATTTAATTTGTTCATATCTTTGGAATTCCTAGGTTTTGACTTTAATATATATAATATATATATATATATATATATATATATATATATATATTCTAAAATGTCTTTACCATTTGGACAAACTATAATCAAGAATGATGCCCTTACATAATGCGTTTTAATTATTAATGTTGTTGAATTAGCAATTACATTCATATACAAGTTCATAGTTGCCATTTTTCATATTTCATGAGCTAGTACTCTTGAAACTAACAATCAAATATATTTTCCCACTTGAAGGTACATTCTATTTGAATAAGAATTTATACACACATGTGTCCACACACATATTACACACACTCATTTACTATATGATCTTCATCTCAAAAAATGAATTAAATTTCGTCTATTGATTATGCATAGTGAATTTTAAGGATTAATTAGATGCTACTTTTCAAAAACCCAAATTTAACTTCCAAATCTTTTCAATCCCTTTTGGAGAATAACACTACTTGTTTTGCTAATATATAATATGTCGTATATGATATTTCCAATAAAAATTGAGATAAAATGGAATGCATAATAGCACGCAATGACACAACAAAATATAGAAAAATGAAAAAACATAACCACCTAAGACGACATTATTTAGATGACATTGAATGTAGTGTCTAACTACACAATTCATCAAAATTCATTGAAACAACTAAGAAAGACCATTATAAAAAAATATAGATCAGGCGGGAACAACATGCGAAATAGCCAGGGAATGAAATAGTTTCAATTCTTTGAGCCACTTGGACCGGCTTGATTTGGATCATTTTGGTTGTTGGTTTTCCTATTCATCATGTTCATATAGTGAGTCCAACCCTCATAATCCCGCCCCACCACAGTAGGCAGCGGCTCAACAATACTACTATTCACCGGAAGCATGGGATTCGAGATGACAACATTGACCATCACGTTTTCAGGAATTTGGTTGTAGTTGACCATTGTTGAAGCCGTCATTGCATCTGGAACATCAGCTCCAACTGAGGTTGAGGCATTGGCATCACTTGTGTTATTCATCTTTAAGGTTTCAATCCTATTATTAATTTCTGCCAAGTGCAAGTTAATGACCCAACCCAAGTCATTCAAATCGGCGACATCCAACGGCCTATCAATTTGCTCTCCGGCGAGGATTTTGTACATGATCGTTGTCATTTCCTTCTCACGGTTCTCCTTCTTCAACTTGATTATGGTAGTGTTGAGCTTTTGAATCCTCTCATGAACAAAGTTCTCCTGGCTCGTGCTC